GCCAGCTAAGCTACAGTGCAGAGTGGCTGCTACCCACTCTCCTCAGTTATGGAGGGAGGAAGGGAGACAGTGGCATAGAAGACCAGTGCATCATATCTCTGCATGCAAGAACATCTGGACAATGCTTCCTTATAAAGTGGGAGCCTTGTGGTCTTTTAATCAGTCATGACCAGGATTTTCTATGTTTTGTTTGTGTCCTCCTCTGTTTATGAGTTTATGAAGGAGAGGGACGTTATGACGGAGAAGACACTGAAACATACAACCAAGAGAAGCCGCTGAACTGACACAGTGGTTGATGGCCACAGATGAGGTGAGCTTATGCCTTAAAGGTACTGACACAGAAACTGTAGACAGACTCAGTGGCTAAATTGCAACCACATGATGGGATGCTACATGAGGACCTGAATTCAGATCTTATTCACCCATGTAGAAGTTGGAAACACCATCATGTATTTCTGTAACTCTGGTACTAGGAGCCAGGGGGAATGGAGGATAAAGGGAGGCAAGGTCTCAGGAACTCACCAGCCAGCTAGCTAGTCTAGCCAAAATAGCAAGGTCAAGATTCAGTGGCAGATCCTGTTGCAAAAATAATAAAGTAGAAAAAGTTTTTGATTAAGGGAAACATCCAGCATGAGCCTTTGATGGCACATATACCTACATACTTGCACATGTATATGCATACACACACACACAGGGGGGGAGAATGTGATGATTCAGGGATGATCACACATGTAAACTCTAGCACCTTGGATGCTGAAACAGGAGGATCCCTCCAAGACAGGGGCCAGACTGGGCTACATAGCCTGGCCTGTGTGACAAAGTGAGTTTGTCTGGAACAAACAAGCAAAACAAATGAATAAACTCACGTCATTTCCTCTGTCTCACCTAAGGACTAAAGCCCACCCTCTGCATGAGTGAGACAGACTACATACAGAGCAAAGAGAAAAGAAGTCTTCTGGGTTTCCTTTTCTGAAACCCAAGGTTCCAGGGGAATGAGGATAAGACCTATGGGACTTATGAAGGAACAAAGGTATCTCTGCTCTCCTGCTTCCCTCTGGAAAATACACACCAATCCTTAGAGAAGGGAACAGAAACTGGTTGGGTCCTGTGCTTAGAATCTTTCCTTGCTTAGAATCCCAGAGAGGAGGGTCATCTGGAGAGATGGCTCAGCAGTTCACAATAGTTACTGCTGTAGCATATCAGAGCAGCATATCAGAATACCGTTCACTGCTCCCACATCAGACAGCTTACAGTTGCCTAGAGCTCCAATTTCAGGGGATTTCATGTTCTCCCCTAGGCTCTGCAGGCACTAAACAAATGTGGTGCATATACACACACTCAGGCACACCCTCTGGCCCCCTCAGCTCCCCTACACTGTCCTTAGGTAGGTTTCTATTGCTGTGATAAAACGTTATGACAAAAAAAAAAAGCAGCTTAGAGGAGTTGGCAAAGTGTTTATTTCAGCTTAGAGTTTACAGTCCTTCATGAAAGGAAATCAGGGCAGGAACTCAAGGCAGGAGCCTAGAGGCCGGAACTGAAGCAGAGGCCATGGAGGAATGCTGCTTTCTGGCTTGCTCTCCCAGCTTGCTCTGCCTGCTTTTTATACCCAAGACCACATGGCCAGGGAAGCCACCACCTGCACTGGATTAGGTCCTCCTACATCAATTCTTAATCAAGACAATGCCCCCACAGACTTGCCTACAGGCCAATCTGATGGAGGCGATTCCCCAGTTAAGGTTTCCTTTTCCTCAAAAAAGCTAGCGAGTGTCAAGTTGACACAGATATGAACCACCACATACAAAGAGATATACATACATGCACACACACTGACATTCATATCATGAAAATTAAATAAATCTTTGAAATAGAATAGTAATAATTTCCTGTGAAGAGAACATAACCAGGCCAGGCTGCTGCTGGATCTGGCCTGGTGGAGCTCAGTGACTCTGCAGGAGATAAGCCCTGGGAAGCACTTAGCACAGCTCCTGGTCCAAATGTGCTTAAAATCCAGCAGCTTCTTCTGTCTTATCCAAGACTTTCCTTGTGCTCCAGGAGCACTGTGGTTTCACACTCCAACTTCTTGGAGACTGACTACTGTGAGAAGTCCAGCATGACCACTGAATAAGGACAGGGTGTAAGGTAATTTCTATATATGGCAGTGAACAACTAAAACCTCCAAAGTAAAAAAAAAAAAAAAAAAAAGAGTGATTAGATTAGATTAATTCAGAGTGGCATTGGTTTCTGAAAGCCTGTGGCCTCAGTTTCCACTTCCCAGCAATTCTGACAGCCAGGTTCTGAACTTCAGCAACTCAGGAGACAAATTTGTATCTTTGATACCATCATGTATCATTTAATACATGGAAGTTTTACTGAGTGAGTGATTCTTTATCCCATCAAATTGACAATATTGTCCTGAGATGTATTTACATTCAAAACCTGTGTCTCAGGCTGGAGAAACAGCTTAGAGAGCAAAGTACTCAAATACAAGGACCTGAGTCTGAAGCCGTAGAAGCCATGTAAAATAAGACACAATAGTAGGCATGTTATGTATGGTAGGAAGAATGATCTATGGTAGCCATATATTTGGTTTTTAAGGAGTGACTTTATTCAGTACAGCAAGCCAAAGTAAAAGAAGAGATAGATAGATAGATAGGTAGAGAGAGAGAGAGAGAGAGAGAGAGAGAGAGAGAGAGAGAGAGAATATAAATTAGTCACTCAAAAACATCCAGCAGAAATCAACTGGAGAAGCCCCCCTCTTTGAAATAGCCAGCTAGAGTTCTCAACCAAGTGTTTGGGACCCCAGCTTTACCTGAGTAGAGGTCTCTGAATGCAAGGCTAAAACAACTTGCATCTGTGAGTAGCTCCTGCTACTGGTGACATTATTTCCTATATTTTTAATTATGTTTAGTTTGGGACTATCTGAAAGCTATGTGCCTAGGACACCAATAACGGGGTGTAAGCATTATGGTTGCTCAGATGGAAAGGAATTCTGACACTAGGGAGGCAAGGGATACCACAGGTCACAATAAGTGTAGCACTTTACATCCCTGCTCTGGAGAAAAGCTTTGCAAGTACAACAGCCCTGCTCCAGCAGGGGAAGGCTTCTCCAGCAAAGTTGTTACAGTTCTGCTATCCATCTGCTGCAGTGTAGTGTAACAACCCTGCTTCACTAGGGGAAGATTTCCATACAAAACGGAAACTGTTACTCACTGCTTTGTCTCCAACAAAAAAAAAAATTGTTACTTCTCTCCTCCACTCCAGGTCTCACCCAAACCTCATTCAAGAGATTTATTGGGAAGGAAGAATCCAGGAGAGTCGCTGCCTCTGCCAGGGTGGAAGAGGACAGCTGGACAGTCACAAGCTGAACAGGCACAGGGCTATTTAAGCCTATTTAAGGGCTTCTTAGGAATGAAGTTTTTCCAGGGAGATTTCCAGGGTGGAGATTGGTCAGATTTCAATTCCTGAACTCAGATTGGCTAGATCTCGTGCTCAGGGATTGGCTGGTTTTCTGCTCAGGTTTAGGGTTTGATTTAGGTTTGGTTTCAGGACCAAAGTATGTTTCTTTGACTGGTCCTTTTTAGCTTTTTGGCTCTAATTTTAGGGCCAGGTGTACCTTTCACTGGCTCTGATTCTAGGGACAAAGTGTGTTTCTTTGGCACTTATTTCAGGGCCAGGGTGAATTTCTTTGGCTCTGCTCAGAATGTGTTTCTTTGGCTTACCCCTTTTCCCTACACAGAGGGCTCCACTCTTTTGTCTAGGGGATTTAGTATGAAAAGATTCTCTGCCACGGATTTTTATTGTACTTCCTAACATTTAATAAAGAATCGTACCAGATGTGGTGTTGCGCAACTTTAATCCCAGCACTCAGGAGGCAGAGGTTAGTGGATCTCTGTGAATTTCAAGTCCAGTCTGATCTAAATAGAGAGTTCCAAGACAGTCAGGGTGACATAGAGAGACCCTGTCTCAAAAACTAAAAGTGAATTTGTGATAGTTTATTTTTAGTATTTGTGGGAGTGGTGGTGTCAAGAAAATTTTTTTAAATGGAATATCACTGGCTTGGGAAACTTTGAAATGGAGTGCTCAGTGTTTTTGAACTCTAAGCCACCTATCTAGCCCCAGCATTTAAAAAAAAAAACAAAACATACACAATAACAACAACAAAACCAAGTGTGTGTGTGTGTGTGTGTGTGTGTGTGTGTGTGTGTGTGTGTGTCTGCGCTTGCCCGAGTTTGGGGAAGGGTCGCATGTAGCTCCAGGTTCACCTAGAACTCGCTATTGTGATTGTCTGGCGTCAGCCTAAGATCCACGGACACCACTTCCAGCATAGCAGGCTGCAACATTTCGTCTATTTAATTTTCTACTATTTATTCAGTGTCTCTTTAGTGCCACTCAAAGGGCTGGCCATGTTATTGGGTGATATAATTCTAAGTATTTCCCAAAACTAGGCACTGTTAACTATTCCCATCTTGAAGGAATTCAAGGCAGAGAGGATCAGCTCATTCATCCAATAAAATCAAGACTACAGAGTTTATTCTCTTAACCTCTATTCTTGAGTTTCTCACCCGCAAAGAATACCATCTGAAACGCGTTCTTTTGATTCCACAGTGGAAGTCAAATTAGCCATATCTAGCTCCCATGCGATCTTCACAATCATCATAAGCGAGAAAGATGCGAAGCTCAGAGTGCTTTTGCCGAAGGATACAGCTCCTAACATCAGAAGATGACTGAACACGTTCAGTCACTTCCCAGTACTGCTTTTCGGTACTTACACTCCCAGAAGTCCCTCCCCCCGGCAAATGACAGTTTCCGGAAAATACCAGCCCTGGGAAAGCCTGAAGAGGTCAGGGGGCGGAGCCTCCAGCGACTCTCTAGCTTTCGCTTACTCTATATCCACCTTGATTGACAGGCTCCGAGTTCCAAGACTCCTTGCAATTGGATGAAACTCTTTGCGTGGGCGGGCCTCCAGTGTCACCGCACTCTGATTGGCCGGTCCCGCCATGCGGGGCTGAGGGGCAGTGCTTGTGACTGCGCGAGGGGTCCGGCTGCCTTGTCAGCCAGGTGGGGACGGGTGCATGTGGGCGCTGCGCTCCCTACTGCGTCCTGTCAGCCTGCGCACCATGTCGCAGGGTTCGGCTCGTCGGCAGCGGCCTCCCAAAGACCCGCTGCGACACTTGCGCACGCGGGAGAAGCGTGGCCCGTCCTGGGGACCCGGGGGCCCGAGCACTGTGTACCTGCAGGTGGTGGCGGCGGGTGGCCGGGATGCAGGCGCCGCTCTCTACGTGTTCTCTGAGTTCAACAGGTCAGTGCAGACCAACAGCCCGGGTCATCTGGTCGCATCGCCACGTGCTCCGCGTCACGCACTTATCCAGCCCTGTAGGTCCCTTACCTCCCTTAGTCCGCATGGTTTTCTGGCATCAGTGCAGTACTTCCCATTGCCTGGGCCAGGGTGGCTTTTGGCTTGCTGGAGTCGCACCATAAGCATCCCAAAGCCGGGGCCTCACAGTGAGTTTGTAGGCTAAATTGGTCCGGAAAGTTAATGGGGAAAGCGGCCTTTGCTCACGAGTCGCACCATAAGCATCCCAAAGCCGGGGGCCTCACAGTGAGTTTGTAGGCTAAATTGGTCCGGAAAGTTAATGTGGAAAGCGGCCTTTGCTCACCGACCTATACTGAACTTAACGTCAAGTCACTAACCAACTAGGGTTCAAAACCTACCAGCCAATGAGAGGAGGTCATCTTAGTTGTAGTTATATCGTTGTATCTACAATAAAGCGTTTTGCAGAATAGACTTTTCTGAGTATAGTAATATTGCTCCCACAGGTACCTCTTTAACTGCGGAGAAGGTGTCCAGCGACTTATGCAGGAACACAAGTGAGTCAACACCTGGTTTCTGGGGTGGAGATGATTATGGGCTTGGAAGCTGAGGTGAGGGGCAGAAGTGATCTTGGGTCAGCTGTGTTTCATCTTGTTGAAATGTGTGTCTTTTCTTAGGCTGAAAGTTGCTCGCTTGGACAACATATTTCTGACACGAATGCATTGGTCAAATGTTGGGGGGTTGTGTGGTGAGTATGTTTTGGAGGTTGGAGCCTGGTGGGAAGTCTCTGGGACTTTAACATGGCTTGCAACTCCTCTGCTTAACTTCTGAGCCCAGGGGAGCTAGAATTCCTTGTCTACTTGAGTGCAAAAAGCTAGACTCAGAACAGGTCTTGACATGGTGATGGCCTCCAGTGCTCGACCGTACATTTAACGAGAGAGTAGTGGTGGCAATCAGAGTAAAGTTATTTATCATGAAAACCAGCAGCAGCCATATGCGGACACCTACTGTCAAGATTGCTTCATTATTCCTGGCCATCAACTGGGAACATCAAGATTGTATTGATGCCAGATTTTGAAAGCTTATTGGTATGTTGCAGGAAGGAGTGAGGTACTGGAGTGCCTCCCCACCCCCACTGCCATTTACACAGCTGCTACTGGTGTGATGTATAGACAGTGGCCATCCTGTTTCATGCCAGCTGCCTCTCTACCTCCCTCCAATCACCTGTGCCCATTCTAGAGGCACATGGGGGAAGATTCCTTGTCTCTTAGTACCACTGCTAATATTATTTTCTCTTTATGTATTGCATATTTGATTATAAGCCAGAATAGGGACACATGGGTAACTAACTGGTCAAACACCTCCCCCACCACTCAGGCAGACAGTGCCTCTATGGTGATAGAGTTAATTTTTTTGTTTATTTTTTATAATCTTTTTTTTAGGAATGATTCTAACTTTAAAGGAAACTGGGCTTCCAAAATGTGTTCTTTCTGGACCTCCACAACTGGTGAGTCTCTCCTGAGTCACTATCAAAACCACCTCCTTTTAAAAATGTTAACAGACAGGAGTCTTCATCTTTGTAACCTAACCCTTTGCCCTCAGGGATAACAGGTAGCGGAGTAAACACATCTCCTTTCATAGTGCAGAAATACCAACTGCATGGCCCTGGGTGAGCTGCCTTGCCTCTCAGCCCCAACTTCTTAATTTATAAAGTGGCCAAAATGTTCCATGAGGTTGTTACAGAGGGAATGAAAGGGTGTATGAGAGTACCACCTCACGTTAGATACTTGGTACTGAGGAAGTGCTCAATCAAAGCTTTTGTTCTTTTTAAACTTCAGCAGACATCCAACTCTGCCTGTGTATCCTTGCATGTCAGTTCCCACTTCCCTGTAGTCCCTCCTCTTCGTAGCAGCCAGAGCAAAGTGTACATGCAGTGTACCACTTCCCATCCTAGGCTCCTGTGTGATAGCATCCACAATATGGCCTCCAAGTCCCCTAGGCCCAGCCCTCTGCTCACATCTCTACCCTGTTGTGAAGGCGGGGCTGCAAGGGCCAGCACTGGCCTACTGTTTTGCTTCCTGAAGTCATTTCCTCTGGAGCTGTGCCTGTCCCTCCAGACAAATTAGTTTCTTCTCCCGTGTCTTTTCTCTTCTGGGACACCTGATTGCAAATGAGTTGTTTTTGTTGACATTTGTTTCATCTCCATCTCTGCTTTAACGAGAGAGCAAGAACTTCTTGTCTCTTAATGTTGCTAAAGCAGTGGCATCTATCTAATGACACTGGACATAATAAATATCTGAATATGTAAAATTTTTTAAGTATTTGCTAAGTTTTGTGTCGACATAAACCGAGTTCATATTCTACTTACTTATTTGAGTATATCGCTGTGGCCTATATTTAAAACATAACTTCTTGCTTGCTTATTTTTTAGGAAAAATATCTAGAAGCAATCAAAATATTTTCTGGTCCTTTGAAAGGAATAGACCTAGGTATGTTGTTGACTATGACTTGTTATCTCATAACAATTCCTTCCCTGCTTTTCAAATTAGAATCCACTAACAACTGCTTTAAAGCAAACCTTAAAATCACATACTTCTTTCAGCATGCTCTGGTTTTGTTCTTTCTTTTGTTCCTCCTCTAATTTTGTTTTCTTTAAGTGTTTTTTTTCCCCTGAGGCAGGGTCTCTCTGTAGTTTTGGAGCCTGTCCTGGAACTTCCTCAGTAGACCAGGCTAGCCTTGAACTCACAAGAGATCACAGAGATAAGCCTGCCTCTACCTGCTAAGTGCTGGGATTAAAGGCATTCGCCAACAACACCCAGACTGATTTATTTTTATTTCATGTGAATTGTAAAGCACTGACAGTTTTATTTTAGAATTTATACCAGTTCTTGTAGCGGAGATGTTAGAGTTCCTGGTTGGTAACCTTGTTAACTCAGGACTCTTGCATTTGAGTACAATATTGACTTACCTTTTTCTTACTGGATTCTGTACAGTACTCATAGCATGATGTCCCTTGACTCAGCTTTATTTAAATGACTGATGAAAGTAAGGCTTCCCTTTTTTGTTTGTTTGTTTGTTTTATTTTTTCTTAAAATATGTTAAACAAAACCTGGTTTTACTGACTGGCATATTCCCAGTAACACTCTAAGACAAGTCTGTGGCTGGGGATCCTGCAGATTCATTTTCCCTGCCATTACTAAGACACTTGACTCCTTGACCTGTGTTTTTCCTGCAGCTGTGCGGCCACACTCTGCACCAGAGTACAAGGATGAGACCATGACTGTTCACCAGGTCCCTATCCACAGTGAGTGTGGGAGCCTGATTTCCCAGGAGGTGGCCGTTGGTCCTACCCAAGGGACATGTGTGTGAGGAGAGACAGTGAACTGTTTTGAGTGGCCTGTTTGATTTCTGTACATGATTAGAAATTTAAGGATGGATAATGCCTGTTGGACCTTAGTCTCTTGTGGACAAACATAATGATGCTTCACTCTAGCTGGCATGTTCAGTTGTTAGTTTGTTGCAATTAAGTGCCTTTTAATTAATAACTGCAACCTAAAAGAGGGGCATTGAGGGCTGAGAAGCTCCAGCCTTGCTTGTGAGGTACCATGTCGAAGGATGGGGCTTTGAGTTGGGAGCTGAGATGCTCTGCACATCAGTCCGACTGAACAGTTTGTGCCAGGCTTACCTGCGTTTGAAGAGAAGACCTGGTGGTAGGGAGATGCCCTTGATATTGCAAATTGCCACCATCTTGCCAGTTGCAGAGAGGCTATAGAGCCGAGGAGAGGACCAACAAAGGCAGAACTGGGTGGGGAGGGGCCTGAGGTTTGTGCTGACCATGAGTAAACGATGGGAGGGAAGGGTGTTTTTCTTGAGTAATGGCACCCGTGCTTAAAGCCAGCAAAGAGGACAGCCTAAGGTCTCTCTTTACTTCACTCACTCCAGGTCAGGTGTCTTCTCTTACCTGACTACTACTGCTACTCCTCCCAGTTGGAAGTGTCTCCCTTTGTTGTTTTCTTTCCAGCACCCTTTTCTTCCCTCCAGACAGCATGTGTTTTCCTGTGGTTGACACCTGTGCAGTTGACGCCTGTGCAGATCTGCTGGCCAGTGTTTCCCTGGAGCTCAGCAGGTCCTGATTGAGTGACACGCTTAGAGGAGCAAGGGCAGCTTCTGTTACGACCAGCAGCTGTGGTTCAACTTCTTAGATCAGCAGCCCTACCTACACTCCATCCCCTTGATTTTGATACCTAACTAGCTGCAGAATTCTGCTCCTTTTGGTGATGGGTGTCTAGGGATCTGTGCAGCGATAACTGAATGGTGATAACTGAGCTAGTCTACAGCCTGGATGCTTTTAGTCAGATAGTATTGAATTCTGTGGACGAGGCCCTGGGCCAGGGAGGGAGAGGCCAGCAGGCTGGTAGCTGGTTATTTGCTACTGCAGAGAAAGGAGTGCTGGTTTGATTGACATTAGGGAATTCTTGTTACGTGAACACCTGGACTTCAGTTGTGGGAGGTGTGTATGTAATGAGATGGCTTCCTCTGCTGCCCAGGTGAACGGAGGTATGGCAGACAGCAGCCCCTGCAGAGCCCAAAAAGGTCTCCCAATAGGCTCAGTCCAGAACAGTCATCATCAGACTCTGCGTCAACTGATACATCAGCTGAAAATGGGGAGCACCATCCAGATGGCAGCAGTGCAGGTAAACTGTGGGGGCGGGCCTTGTGCTTCTAAATGCCTTGTCCTTTTCAAAGATTATCTCTAATTGACAGACAGTATTTGTGTACGTTTAGGGTGCAGTGAATTGTATTGATCTATGTAGAAAGAGTCAAATCAGCTAGTTAACATGCCTGTCATCTCACCAAGCTGCATGTAATACAAGCTCTTGGGTGTAGGGGGCTTTTGTGTTTTCATTAATGAAACAATGCAGAGACTGGTTGCTATGCTCACACAACAGACAAGTCAGGGTGAAGGTAGGCCCCTCTTAGAAGATGGCTACCCGAGACTTGCTCTGTCTGTCCGAGGAGTTGAGTACTCAGTCTACGCTTCAGTGTTGGGCACAGGTGGGTCAGCTCCTGCTGGTCTCAGGGCATCTGTTTGGTAACTAAGAAGGCAGACCTTGTTGACACCTTTCTTTTCTGTGATAAACAGAGAGGACCAAAGTCCACATAGTTCCTTCAGGCCGTTAGCTATTGTCTCATTTTTCATATTTGTGAACTTGCTTATAAAACATTGCAGTGAGAGCTAGCAGAAAGGCTTGGTGGGTAGACACTTGCTGCCAAGCCTGAAAACCTGAGTTCAGTTCCTGAAGCCCACATGGTAGAAGGAGAGAGCTAACCCTGGCAGGTTGTCCTCTGACCTCCACATAAGTGTCACCCCCACACCTACATACACACACCTACACACACACTCACACCCACTCAAACCCACCCCATCCCTGTAACTAAATGTAAATAAATAAGAAAATAATACAACTTATTCATCCTGCCTCCAAATATTACGGCAAATGGGACGTGTGAAAAGTTTTACTTGCCATTATGTGTTTGTTTTGGCTGGAGTTTCCTTCCTCACCTTGTCTTCCTTCCCCTCCCTCCACTGTACTGAGGATGAGCCCAGGGCCTTGGGCCTGTTTAGCAAGCATTCTCTCCCTGGGCTAGTTTTTATTTCCTTATTTTGAGACAGTTGTCTGAGTTGCCTTTGAACTTTTTGTCGTTGATCCCCCTGCCTCAGCTTCCCAAGTGGCTGGGATTACAACTATGCACCATTAGGCCTAGCTGGACTTTCACATTTTCTATTCACTTTTGTTGACACATAAAGGATAAAGAGGTGTATAGTAAGGACAGAGTCTTCCACTCCAGGGTGGCGTCAACAATGTCCCTTTAATGTATTGAGGGAGAATTAAGGGGCAGTAATCTGAGAAGCATATGCAGCCTTCATGTTTTCCTGGTTAATGTGCTTTGCCTCAGGTACCAACAGGAAAGCAAGTGGCAGGGACCCTTCCTTAGTGGTGGCTTTTATATGCAAGGTAAGTTTGGCAGAAGTGGGCAATGAGTGGGCATGTGGCCAGTGGCCAGCAGGTGGCGTGTGCTGGGACTTTCTGTTGGCATCTGTGCCTGTGGCTCCTAGGTCACCTGTCCTCTGTGGGCACCTGTGCAGTCATCTGCAGGAGGCTCTTGGGTCACCTGTGCTTTCTTGGCATTTCAAATTCTCATCCAGTGCCCTATCATTTCTGCTCCAAAAGGAAAAATAGCAATCTGTTTGGGATTTTTGTGCAGATGATAACTCTTGCAAATAAGAAGCCACTGTAAACAGCAGCGGCAAAATGGCATTGTGGGTACCATTTCTGTGTATCTGAATGACAGCTATACTTTGTGCCAGTGGGCACATTACAGTTGTGTTTCTGAAGATTAGGGAAAAGCATCTTAACTATTGTATGCTGTCTGCATTGTGATAGACACTTCCTTCCCAAGTAATTACACTGAGCATGATAAATATCATGTCTCTTTGTGCTCGGGCAGCTGTATGTCTTGAGGCAGCTGTTCTGGACCTGCAGGCCCTCTTGATATAGCTACAGGCTGGTGACCTGGCTTTCCCTTCTCTTCCTTGTCTGCTGCCACGTTGTTTTGTCAGCAATGCTAGACATGGAGTCTAGGTGGCTTTGCGTGTCTTCACAAGCTGTCTACCATGAAGCTACATCTCCAGTCCCTTTGAATTTTTTTTTTTTTTTTTTTTTTTTATTTTGAGGCAGAGTCTTGCTAAGTTGCCTCCACTGGCCTGGGGCTTGCTATGTTCTGCTGCTCTTGCTCATCCTTTGCCTTCTCTTCCCTCTTCTTGTTATATGATGATTTTCAGGGGAAGGTTAGGAAAGCAGTGACCTAGCTCTGGTTGCAGGAGCCAGAGAAAACAGTTTTCAGAAACGGAACCTGGGGTAGCGAGCGCATCTGATGGGCCAGTGTGGGCTGGGGCAACTGTGCTGCCACTGTGATGCACATTGTGCTTCTCCCTGTTGAGCAGGCGTTGGGCTGATTCTTGCTCGGAGAAACCGTAAGTGGTTGTTGCTGTGTATGACATGTCTCTTCTGTGCCCAGACCCACTTGGTGTGTGGCGAGGCACTGTGCACTGTGGCATTTGTCCTCATCTGAAGGTGCCACCTGGACCTCTGTGGGACTGTAGAGCCCCAGTCCTCCCACTGGCACCCTTGTGTGTAGGGTGGGAAGGTCCAGAGCCTGGAGAATGAGACTCCCGCATCCAGATTTGCTCCTAAGAGTAACGTCTTAACTAAGGAAGTTAAAAGCAAACTCAGCAGTTTACCAGGATTTAAGGAAGAAGATGGAGATCAAATGTGACTCAGCAGAGACCTGCTGATTGCCTTCTGTGTCATCCTGTGTGAACTCTGGGTCCCAGGAAGGTCAGACAGAAGTTTACAGAGCTGTAGGATGGCCGGATCATCCGACGGAAGAAGAATATACTGGAAATTTTTCTCCATTTAAAGCTGAAGCCCTATACTGTCAAATATTAAAGGAGGAAGGAAACCACCATCCATTCTGTTGATGTCCTATCAGTGTCGCTGTACTGGAGGGCCGTATACAGAACGCCCCCCCCCCCACACACACACATGTAAATGGTACTTTGGTAGCACCCTGATGTGTTAAACGATGAAGTAGCCCAAGTACCCTGCGGTCCTCCTGAGGGCTATTTGTTAACTGTAATTTGTTAGCATCCTTGCTGTTGGTAAACTGTGACATGGAAGAGTGACACTTTATTATAAAGTTCACAGCAAAGTGATGGCGGGACTAGTAGGCACCATGTCTTAGTTCATCTGGCTTTAACTCTAAAACCTTTTCGAAATAAGCACTGCTTTAGAATGTGTATACCTACCACATGTTAATGAACAGTGAGGAAGTAACAGCATTGATACAGGTCTGTGAAGGTGAAACTGCTTCATCGGCATCTGAAATTCTGTTTGCATTCCCTTTGTCACAGCTTCACATGAGGAAAGGAAACTTCTTGGTGCTCAAAGCAAAGGAGCTGGGCCTTCCTGTGTGAGTGTCAGGTCCTTGGGAACTCTGTCTGTGCCGGGCCTCTGTTAAAAACAAAGGTGTCTCACAGACTGCTTGCCTCTCTTTCAGTGGGACGGCCGCCATTGCACCCATCATTGCTGCTGTCAAGAATGGGGAGAGTATCACTCACGAAGGAAGGGAGGTGAGGCTCCTGGTTCCTGGGATTTAGCAGTGACAGGTGGGGCCTGGCACGCTGGCCAGAGCCACTGTCTGCCTTAAGCTTACAGGCACTCTGAAGGATGTGTGGGACACCTTGGGATTGCCTTATCTTGGCTGCATGGTGGAACCCTTACGTAGTGATGGACCCCTGCAGCGCTCTGCCCAAGCATTCCTGCATCTTGTCTGCTCACATCCAGTGGGCCTTTGCATGTTCACATCCAGTGGGCCTTTGCATGTGTAGCTGCTTTCCCTTGTGCCTGCAGAGCAGTGCCTACCTTCAAGGATGGGCTTTGCTAGCAAGTGTCATAAGAGAACTATGCTCTTCGTCTAAGGGTGTATCTCTGGTGTTGAAAATATCTTACATGCCAACCTTCCCACTCTGGTTTAAAATGTCTCCATAAACCAGTGCCTGTCTGCTGAATTAGGAACAAACAGAGCAGGAAAAAGGTGGATGGCAATCACTCAGGCCAGGCTTGTACTCTGTATTGAATGTGGGTTGGGAAATGGTAGTAGTTGCCTTGAAGGACATTTGGTTGTGGCAGAGCTGAGACTGTTCTGGAAGAGCACTCTGCTCCAATGAGCAACCTGTCTAATTCTGTAGATCACCCCTGAAGAGCTTTGCACACCCCCAGATCCTGGTCTTGCGTTTATCGTGATAGAATGTCCTGATGAAGGATTCATCCAGCCCATCTGTGAGAATGACAACTTTAAAAGGTAATGATGAGGGACTTTGGATGGGAGAAGTGAGAGCTGCCATTGTTCAGCACACCTAGCCCAGCACAGACATCCATATCCCCAAAACAGATCATGTCCTTGAGGTGTACTGTGTCTCCAGGAAGGCCTGGACTTTGGATTCAAGGTGTGTCTTGATCTTCTTGGCAAGATTTGGGCAGTGTTTGTAGTTGGTGGTCTTTGGAATGAAATTTGAAAACTGACAACTATAAGTCATTGAGGACTAGACAAATCAACTGTAACTTAGAGAGAGAGAGAGACAAGGAGGGGAGAACATTCATGAGCAAGAGAGAGACATCTAAATCTAGAATAAGTTATTTGACCTATTTCTTCCTATATGAGTTTTCTTCCCTCACCTATGTTGAGACCAGTGAGGTTGGGTGGAATGTTGAAGACGCTGTGACCTGGATTGTGCTAGGGACAGTCTCAGCAAGGCTTTCTGGCCCAAGAGTTGTGTCCACTGGAAAACAGTTCTGCACTTTAGTCCTGGCTAGGAGTCCCTCCACCATGTCTGTCTGGTGCTTGGGCTCAGCCCTGAACACACGAGGCAAGTGCCCTGCCACTGAGCTTCATCTCCAGCCCTTGGTCTCTTTGACACAAGATATCACCATGTAAGTACAGCTGGTCCTGGTCACGTGGTCCTGCCTTAGCTGCCTTAGTACTGAGTTTGGTGTGTACCACCACCTTAGGTAGAACCCATAAGCCTCATGTCTGTTTTAAATTTCCCTCTCCTTAGTGGCTTGTTTGTTTACTTGTCTTTCACATGCTGGTTTATTCTACTTGTACAACAACTCTTTTGGCTCCTATACTTTTCCACAGTAGTGTCAGGAGTTCTCCCTTGGCCACGATGTTCTTCGTGGGTTCAGTGCCCTGGACTGAAACCTATCTTAATAAGGTTTCAAGCAGCAGAGCCTATTGCAAGAGAGCTCTGTGCCTATGTTAGATGGTGTATGTGTGTGTATGTGTGTATGTGTGTCTAGCAGTGATGGTGGTGGTGAAAACAGTCACTGAACTAAAAGGAAGTGTCACCGGGTTAGTAGACCATGCCTGAGCAAGAGGTGGTACCCATGACAGCACCAAGTATTCCAATTCATGGCTGCACAGTTGATTCCCTTTCATGTATATTTTGAGTTTGTATCTCTTTCTAAAGGAAACCCCATTCTTCTGCCCAGGTACCAGGGAGAGGCTGATGCCCCCGTGGCCCTGGTGGTCCATATTGCCCCAGATTCTGTACTCACTGACACCAGGTACCAGCAGTGGATGGAGAGGTATGGAGACCAGTACACACACAAAGGGCAACTCTTGTGGGTGGTGTTTGGATGTTCGTTCCACTAAGTACTGCTCTGCTCACTACCTGCTCTCACCTGAACTTGTCTGAATTTTCTCCTGCCTGAATTTTCTCCTGTGAATTCTGGCCAGGTCTCTCTGTAGGAAGGGTCTGTGTTGTATTATCACCACTAGGTGGCGAGGTGCCCCACTTCTCACTTGTCCAGGACTCCTTTTACATTCTGCTCAGTCAGTGCAGAGGAGAGACTGGCAAATGTAATGGGACAGCTGCTGTCAGCATCTACTGCACATCTGTGTGTGACTTCAGCTTGTTCTCAAGAGGGTCTGTGAGGAGAAAGTCCACCAACATTTAATAGTCCTGCAGTAGTGAATAGCACCAGGAGAAGTATTTGGGCTTGGTTATTTGGTGACCCCGAGCAGCTCCTCAGCTGCCCCGCCATCTGCTTCACCACACATCTCTAGTTCCTTTCTGCCCTGAGCAGTTCTGGGTCTTAAGCTCTGTCTTTTGTTCCTTGGGAGTGTGTGTCAGAACATGAGTTGACTTTTTTTCCTGTTAGGCCTTTTTCCTACCCTGTACTTGATGTTGTTTTCAGATCCATACATGAAGGTCTTACACTTCTTAGTTTTCCCACCATTCTTTCCTGCACATTCCAAAAGCAGCCACAGGAAAAACAAAAGCCTAGACTTTGATACAGAAGCAGCAGGGTGGTTTCTGGCTGTGTAGTCACTGTTTGGGGAAAATGACATAAATGGGCATGTCCATCCACATTAATCTGTTTGTCTGCAGTCCTTTCCCTGAAGTGGGATGATTTCCTGATGGACACTGTTAATGATGGGCTGACTTTCCGTAGGTTCGGACCTGACACCCAGCACCTGATTCTGAATGAAACTTGTTCATCGGTTCACAACCTCCGCAGCCACAAGATCCAAACTCAGCTCAACCTCATCCACCCTGACATCTTCCCCCTCCTCACTAGCTTCTACAATAAGGTAGTTTGTGTCCCCTCAACGTCCTGGCCCAGCCTCATCCTCCCTGACATCTTCCCCCGCCTTACCAGTTTCTATAGTAATGTAGCTAGTGTCCCTCAACGTCCTGGCCCGTGGATTTCTCACTGTGAAGTGTGTTTTTGTCTCTTCCAGGAGGAAGGCTCTGCCCTCAACATGCCCATAGTTCGGGGTGAATGCCTCCTCAAGTATCAGCTCCGCCCCAAGAGAGAGTGGCAGAGGTATATGCCGTTCTGAGCATGTGGGGGACATTTAGGCCAGGGCTTGGGAGGATTTCTAAAGGTGGTCAGTAGCAGTGTTTTGGAAAGTGTTTCTGCCATTTTTTTTCTTTGTTTTAATGCAACCGTAAATATCTTATATGTGTCTTTGATTGGAACTCTGCTTCCCAAAGGTAATTTCTAAATATGAGGTAATAAGGTCACAGTATGTGACTTCTTGTTGACCTCCTGTTTATACACTCCCAGGCAAGTGAGAAGTGTATGCGGACTACCTGATGGCTTGTCTTCTTGTTGGGATGTGAGTGTGGGGTCTTGGCATTTCCTGAACTCCCAGCATCATTGTTAAAATAGATTATGTTATAGGACATCACTGTGTACTGCCTTGTTTTATAGTCATTGTTCTGAGGTGGTATGCCTTGGGCCATGGGCATTAATACATACTTTATTCAGCCCATGTTCCAGTGACAATATCATCTCAAGGTCCCAGACCCACCAAGTTGATCTGGAGAGGTTGACTTGGGACTGCTTTATAAGCTTTGGGAGACTTTCCTACTCAGCTAGCCCAGGGAATGAGTCCTCTCAGTATTGGTGCTGAGTGGAGGAGGTCAGCAATACCAGCATTCACCGGGGGTTGCTGAGGGTGTTGGTTTACTGGTCCACCCCAGAATTGATATCAGTTTGGGTTCTACAGATCGCCAAGGTTCTCTGTTGTTAGCTGTGTGTGTAGTGCTCACTTTAATTTGAGAGGTGCTCTCTGGAACCCTGCTTCTCAGCCAGGGACTGTGTAGTCCACCTAGGGGGCATTGGCTTATATGTGGAGACATGTAATTTTCAACAACCTTGGGTGGGGGATGTGTGCCACAGGGACAGCTCCACTGTATAGAAGAATTTATCTTGCCCAAACACCAGGAAGGTCTCATTTTCAGGCTTGAAGTTGGAAAGGTTACAAAGAGCCGGGGTTGTTCAGGACTCATTCATCTTATTTTAGTTGAGGAAGGTTCTAGAGACTAGAGCTGCCTAGGTCATTATCTGTAGGAGTGTGTTCTATGCTTGCATTGGTTACTTTTCTATTGCTGTGAGAAAACTCTATGGCCAAAATGATTAATGGGGAAAAGTTTATTTTGACTTATAATACAGAGGGCTGGGTTCATCGTGGTAGGGAGGTGTAGCAGGAGCTGAGAAATGGCAGTCTCAAGCACAAACACAAAGCAAAGAGAGTGAACTGGAAGGCCCCTTGGGTCACCCAAGTTGTTTTCCGCTGCAGGGATACCACACTCACCTATAATACTGATGAATTCATAGCTGAGGCCTTGGAGCTCCCCAATTTCCAGGAGAGTGTGCAGGAGTATAAGAAGAGCGTGCAGGAAAGCCCAGCCCCAGAAGGTGAGTCAGAGCCCTGGGCAGCCTCTCCTAAGCATTGCCTGTCTGGAGCTTGCAGTCTTGAGCAGGGCGTTGTACAAGCTGAAACGCGATTATTTAACTCAAGGCTTCTCTGTATTACCACAGAGGGCTGCGGGGGCTGTTGAGGACCTTAGTACATGTGGTTCACATTCAGTGGCATTATCTGGGTGTTCTTGAGGACTCACTTGTAAGAAAATGGTTTGAGGAACACCTGTCAGACCATGTTGATTTTTCCCTTGGCCACAGTTGCTGTTGGGTTCTCCTAGTTGGCTAAGAAGGGCCATGGAAGATGCTGGCCACGTAACCAGTTTTATTGCTCCATCAGGGAAAGCAATTGGACAGTTCTGTGACCTCTGCACTTTTGGGGTTTTTTTTGGTTTTCAATTAATGATAAAGAAGATGCTGGAATAGAAGAGGGTAGGTTTTAACCTAGCTGGATGGTCTTTTTTGGAAACTCTTGATTTTCTGAAGGTCAGTGCTAGGTCAGCCGTGCCTCTTCATGTGTGTCTGGGAAGAACTATCCTTTCTGATTACGTTGCTGTCCTGGTGTGTTAGCTCATGACCACGCAGGTGAGGCTGAGGGCTAGCTAGCCCTGTGTTTCTGTGCAGCAGACGGGAGGGTAGACACACACACAAAGAGCACACTCTTGTTGCAAGATGGAAGTGCCACCTGCATGGAGGAAGTGGCGATTCAGAGTTAAGGAAACTTGTCTAGGTCATTTAGTGGTGTTTTGTTTTAAAGAAAGGCCTGAATACTTACTATCTTCCAGATTCTTTTCTTCCTTGACAGTCTCCAGGCCTCATTAAAAGGGAAACCCATTCACCTAGCACCTCCCCAGGAAGGTGGATTGGACTAGATTGCTTGCCCACCACATGACAGAATGCTGGCTCAAGCTCACTTGTATTTTCCACAGAGAAAAGAAGCCAGTATCCTGAAATTGTCTTCCTGGGTACGGGGTCTGCCATCCCAATGAAGATCCGAAATGTCAGTTCCACACTCATCAACTTGAGGTACCATGTTTGCGCCAGCAGCTGCTATCCACCAGAGCTTGTCACTAAATAGCCCTCTCCACTCAGCAGGCCGATTGTCCTGGACTTTGCTGTGTTTTATTTTATTTAGAATATATTATTGAAATAGGGTTGCACTATAGTCCTAGCTGGCCTGAAACTCAGTATGTCAACCCAGCTGTCCTGGAGCTTCTGGCAGCTCTCCTTTATCTACCTTTTAAGTGCTGAGCTTACTGTATCTACTTACTTTCTTCTGGGAAACATGCAGATCCACCCAGACATGACTTTGGAGAAAATCTGAAACCTCTTTGCCTTTCTGCTGTATATGTTCCAAGGGGTGTCCCTGTGAACTTACACATTAAGCCTGTTAAGGACAGGTGACTATTGCCTTAGTAAGCACATACCAAGTGTGGTTGCTTCCATTCTGCTGGTCTGGGCCTTGAGCTGGTGTCTAAACTAGTACCTGCATTTCCCTCAACTTCTTGCTGGTGTATTCAAAGCTTTTGGGGTCTTGCAATTTGTTTATATTCAGCCCATTGGAGTTCTGCTTGTTTTTTTTCCGGTTGATTTCTGGGTTTGCTTAGGTTCATTTATGTGCAGGTATGTGTCAGAGTCACTGTGAAGTGTTAATGAGCACTCTGCTCTGCAGACATGTTTGTCAAGGAAGTATACTGGTGAAATCCTGGGAGCTCATTATTATGGGTGCTAGTGATGAACCAATAATACTGAGTAATACTGCAAGAGTGCACCGTGGTGGCCAGGTGCACCTGAGGTCAGACTGTGTACACTGGTGGCCAGGTGTACCTGAGTTCGGACAGTGTGCACTGCAAAGTCCAGGCACACCTGAGTTCAAACGTTTTCAAATCTAGGCATGTTTTTTTCCATGAGTGAGAAATGTAGGCAATTGGGTTAGAGTTCCTGGCCTGTCTTGAAGACTTCTGGTTTCTGATTCCTAAATTCAGCCTGGCACCTTGTTGATGTGAACAGGGCCAGCTTTTTCTCATTTAGACTCTCCCCTGGAAATCACTGTCTTTAGAATGAGGTATCTCTGGATACATGTTGCCCTTCCAATCTTGTGGCTTACTTGAGAGAGGGAAGCCAGAGGGGTACCTCTCTGTCTACCTGAGAGAAAGCCTCTGCATTGGAGCGATGAGCTCAGACCTGAGACCTACCCGGTAGACAGCCGAGAAGAACCTTGAGTCACACTAGCCACCTCCCCAGAGAAGGTTCATGCAGTGCATCCTGACTCAAGACCATTTGAGGATGTGGACCAACAAAACAGGGCCACTTGGAAAGGGTACTGGGAACCATCTTCTGTGACATAATGCTGTCTCTGACACTCTCAGCAGCATAGTCCATTCAGGGCAAGCAGAGGATTGCTGTAAGTGCTGACTCCCAATCCATAGTCTGCCCTTTTCTTTTTTCTTTTCTTATATTGATGCACAGCATTGTATTGATGTATATTCTGAAAGGCTTCAGGGATCTTTGGACCTTTCTTTTGTGCAAAGAGCTAGACTGGCCTAAAATGACCCATGTGGTTTAAATATTTGATTTCCTATGAGCTCCACAAAGGATAGCAGGACGTGGCTGTGGAAGGCAGGGTGGGGATGTCCACAGCTGCTGCCTGGTCTGTCCCTGCTGCAGTGGTGCCATTCTGGGGAATCTGACTAAGCCTCTTCTGTTGGTGACTGTCTTCTGCAGCTCTGACAAGTCAGTGCTGTTGGACTGTGGAGAGGGCACTTTTGGGCAGCTGTGCCGCCATTATGGACAGCAAATAGACAGAGTCCTGTGCAACCTCACTGCTGTGTTTGTGTCCCACCTGCACGCGGACCACCACACGGTGAGTGTGGGACCCCAGAGGTCAGCATGTGGGGAGTGCTGGCTCCGTTAGTATGGACTTGAGCTTCATTCCCTCTAGAACCAAACATTTGGCTTTACCTGCTTCTCACACAGCCTGCCCAGCAGGCCCAGCCAGGTCTGGGCCTATTAGGGTTCCCTACTTCTCAGCCCATTGCCCTCTTTCTAACATAGCTGTATTTTTCTGCCTGTATCATCTCAGTCATTTCGTTAGCATGTGCCACCCAACCTGTGATGTAGGATAGGGATGGGGGTCAGTGAGCTAGGAACCACTTGCAGGCAGGACTCTAAGCTGTGGAGCTGACAGCTGGGCCTGGCTCATCACGTGTGCCCTTCTCCCCAGGGCTTGCTGAATATCTTGCTGCAGAGAGAGCATGCGCTGGTAAGTGAGGCATCTGACCGCCATTGGTAATTGGCGGCTCATTGTCAGCTGTACCTACCACTGAGTCCAAACCGTTTTTACTGGGAAGTCCCCTTATTGGCTAGTCACTGGAATTTTCTTTCAGGAGTCTCTGGGGAAACCCTTCCAGCCTTTGCTGGTGGTGGCCCCTACCCAGCTCAGGCCCTGGCTGCAGCAATATCACAACCAGTGCCAGGAGATTCTGCACCACATCAGGTGAGCGCCCTATGTATCTAGTATTTCTCTGTCCCGTCAGCCATGGAGACTGGAGACTCATATTAATTTTGAAGCTCAGCCTTAGCTTAGGCTTGTCCCACCAGCACTTATCATTTAACCCATATATTTTCAACTATATTCCATTGTGTGGCTCGTTACCTCATCTCTGCATGCCCATGCTGCTTCCTCTGCATCTGGCTGGCAACTCTACTGTCTCCCTAGAGTTCTCTCTGTGCCCTCAAGTCCTGCCTACCTATTGGCCATTCATTCGCCTTTTTATTAGACCAATCACAGCAGTACATTTTCACACTGTACAAATATCCCACAACAACCCTGCACACCAGACCCCAGGCTGTTGCCTTGCACTGCTGCCTCCTTCCAGTGCTCCAGCTGATTGGGTGGCTGCTGAAGTCCTGTCGGGCAAGCCCTTGGAGCACAGTATCCCTGTTCTCTCTGCAGCTCTGTACCACATGACTATGGCCACTGTCCCCACAGCAGACAGCTCCAGAGTCAAGTACCTAAACAGCTGTAGGCACAGAGATGTCTAAGCAGGGTGAGCAGGGCTGATCCAGCTCACATCCAGGGATTTAGGATCAGGGTTAGTGTTAGTGTCACAATTAGGGTTATGGTAGGTTTAGGGTTAGGTTAGGGTTAGTGTTAGGGTTATGGTTATGTTAGAGTTGGAGTTAGGGTTAGCGTTAGCTTTAGGATAAGTGTTAGGGTTGGGGTTAGGTTTAGAGTTAGGTTTTTGTTGCAGTTAGGTTTAGGTCAAAGTTAGAGATAGGTTAGGGTTAAGATTAGGAATAGTAGTCCAGTTAGGGTTATGGATAGTGTTAGGGTTAGGTTTAGAGTCAGTTCCTTGCTGTGAACTGGATAGGCTGGGTGTGTGGCTTGGATCAGTTTTCCTGTCTTCATTACTATGACAGAAGCCATGATTTTTAAAACCACTGAAGGTTCTTCATCCAAAGAACAGAAGTGTAGTTGCAGGTGTTAAATGACTTTTTGAAAAGACATTATCGTTTTTCAAATATTTTGTCTTCTCATAGTATGATTCCTGCCAAATGCCTTCAGAAAGGGGCAGAGGTCACTAGTCCCCAAATTGAAAGGCTAATCAGCTTGCTGTTGGAAACATGTGACTTAAAAGAAGTAAGTGTCCCTGGTGCGAGCCCCACAGAGGACAGGCAGGGTGAGGAGTGGGGCCTGAGCTCTCCATCCCTGCTCCCTCAGTTTCAGACCTGCCTGGTACGGCACTGCAAACATGCTTTCGGCTGTGCGCTGGTACACTCCTCTGGCTGGAAAGTGGTCTACTCGGGGGACACCATGCCCTGTGAGGCGCTAGTCCAGATGGGTAAGTAAGCGGAGTAGGCCTCCCCCGGGTTCTTTGAGAGATGCATGGGGTATGGCATGTGCAAGGTATGCAGCTGATGCCATCAGATAGCAGACTGGTCCTTACCCAGTTGGTCTCCTGGCTGTTGTCCTGAGGGACCAGACCAAGGGAGCTGAGTATTTGGTCAGAACACTGTGTATTCCAGGGGTATATGCTACTCATCCAGACTCCTCCTTGATGTCCATCTTTCTGTTCAGGGAAAAATGCCAATCTCCTGATACATGAAGCCACTCTGGAGGATGGCTTGGAAGAAGAAGCAGTGGAAAAGACACACAGGTAGCAAAGCCATTTAGTCCTTGTCACCCTCTCTTTTGTCAAATGAAAGCTAAACAGTCTTCTGCTCCTCCCCAGAGAGGTGGACTGGTGGCTTTCTTCTAGACTTATGGAATTTCCTGAACCCACATTAGCTCTCCTGGGCACTCTGCCTCTGTTATTCTTGCATATCCCCCAGGCAGGGTTCTATGGTGAGGTGTGGGGTTTTAAAAGAAGAAGCCAGCAGAAATAAACTATCACTTCAGGGGAAAGTGGCGTCATGACAAGATGTTACTTCAGGGGAAAGTGGCATCATGACAAGATGTTTTTAAGACTGATCTTAGGTACCCCAGGGTCTTCTCAGGTGTTATTCTGACAAACTGAAAGCCAGTACCCACTGCAAGGCCTTCAAGAAGTGTGGGCAGGCTCTGGCTCTCAGGAGCATCTCTGCTGGCTAAACTGCCTTCTGAGGACTCTACCAGCCCACCTTGGCACCCTCAGCAGGGAGGTACAGGCTTATGGACTCAGTCCTTCTCCAAGGCTTAGCATCCCTTGCTTTCTTTGCTACAGTACAACCTCCCAGGCTATTCATGTGGGGATGCGGATGAATGCTGAGTTCATCATGCTGAACCACTTCAGTCAGCGCTACGCCAAGATCCCCCTCTTCAGCCCTGACTTCAATGAGAAAGTTGGCATCGCCTTTGACCACATGAAGGTCGGTATGCTGCATGGACCCTGAGGGTTCTGAGGGGCAGGGCCAGTTAGGGAAGTGACCCTCATTCACGTCTCTTTTTATGGCCTATGGCCTCCAAAGAAAGCAGCTCTCTCTATCATTAGCCATGTATAATCAAAATCAGACTGAGGACAAGTTGTACTCCTGAAGGGTCTTCATGCTGTCAGGGTCGCAAGAGATTCCAGAACTCCCAGGCCTGGGCCATTCCCACTACAGCCTTAGCACCAACCTATAGGGCAGGGGCTCATCTCCCAGAGTAGCAGAGCCGGGCCTGCCCCTTTCCCCTCCCCAAACAAAGGAGTGGGCATGAGCCAGCTCTGGTCGTTAAGAGCTTGCTAGAAAAGTCTGGACCATTTTGTTTCCTCTTCCTTGGGTCTCCCTGTTCTTACCCAGGAGTGGGTAATTGGCCTTTCTTCATAGTATTTGCTCCCCTCCTGGAGAGCATTCTTTTAAGCCATGGAGTGGTCTCCCCCAGGCTCCCATACTCCTTTGTCATTCTCAGTATGCCCCTGTCCTGTCTGTCCTTCCAGATCTGCTTGGGAGACTTCCCAACAGTGCCCAAGCTGATCCCCTCACTGAAGGCCCTGTTCGCCGATGACATTGAAGAGATGGTAGAGCGGAAGGAGAAGCGGGAACTACGGCTGGTGCGAGCGGCCCTCCTGGCCCAGCAGGACATGGAGCCCCAGCAGAAGCGGGCCGTCATGGAGGAGCCGCACAGCCCACAGAGTAAGAAGGTCAGAACCCAGTGAAGGTCTAAGCCACCCTGGACTAAAGGCTGTGTACTTCTGCCCTGTGCGGAAGCCACATCTTCTGTCATCCTTGTGGGAGCCAGCGCACACAATCTAGCTGGGAGGCAGCCTGGCATCCGTATGGAGTCCTCTATGGCCATGGCTGGGGGAGCACCTATCCGTCAGGTGCCTCCCATGCCTGGAGGAGAACACAGTGGCAGGACAGGAGGCCACACAGTGAAAGACAGCAAGCCAGTCTTGAAAGAAGCCATGGAAATTGAGGTGTTTGCCCTCACTCACTAGCACAGTGGTCTCTGCGTGCTAGAGACAAGCCACGATACAGGTGAAATTGGGTGTATGTGTCCCAGGCTTCAAGAATATAGTATTTCCAAGGACTCAGACTCAATAAAGCTCAAGTTTGGAATCCTGAGTTCTGTGGCTTCATCATGGTACTGCTTCAGTGTGGGGTCTTCTATGGGCTGGGTTACCCAGTGTGCCCTGCGTGCTCCAGTGGCTGCAAGGATCCGTGGAGCCTTTTCTCTTGCCCCATGATGAGAATGAAAAGCACTATGAAAGTAGGAAGAAATGCCACCTTGGCCTAGATGCCCTGTTGGATCTGAAAACAGGTTAGTGACTGGAACTTGGACAGATGTTCAAAGTCGACTCTAATGTTTATATTCCCCCCCACCCACCCAGGAAAGCACGGGAAGCACCATAGACAATCGAGTGTGAGACAGCAAGCACTCGGCCCTCCTTCCCTGGTGGCGATCTTCAGACTTCCTCCCGGGGCAGTACTGGGTGTTGTCACTGCCCAGCCACCTCTACTGAAACAAGACCATGTGCCAAGCTCAGGGATAATAAATCTATTTTAATAACATTACTCTTGACAACAATTTGTACATGTATTTAAAGATAACCTTCAACCCCCAGGCTCCGTTACAAATTGGGGGTTGGCCTGCCCTTGCCAGGAAGTGAGCAAAGCTGTAACGTCAAAAGTCTGCAGATCCCACTCTCGGAGAAGGGTGAGTTTACACTGCTGGGAAAAATAACTAAGCATTTAAGAGAGTTTTTCATTGTACATCTGTACACTGGTTTAGATTGAATGGCTCAAATTAAACAAATATAGATTTTGTATATACAAATATATCATGTATAGGTATATCTATTTTCAAAGGATCAAACTTTAAACTTGGACTTTGCATGCATGGCCCCGGTCTGTTTTATTCCCTTAATCCCAAAGTGTGAACGAATTCCCTGTGCCCCCGCCCCAGGCAGGGCTGAATGGGTCATGGTGAGGATGATGATCAGGGTCTGCTGGTGAGCAGAGCAGTTCACACCGTGGGCTGGGTGGCCAATACCACTCCCTCTATCTGCTTTGGGAAACAAAATTATTGCTAGTCAGCTGGAACCTCCAGAAGAGGAGTACCATGCCCCACATACCTACTAAGCTGGGTGTCTGGATGGGAAAGTTGCTCTCAAATGCCTAACGTGTGTGTGTGGGACATGGACGCCTACGAAGGGTCTGTATTCAAATCCTCAATTCAGAAATGCCAGTATGGAGTAAAGGGGCCCCCCTTTTTTTTTAACTCAGGGGAAATAAAGCTGTCAGAAGTAGATGGGTTAAGCTGTTTAATTTGGAGCTATGATTAAGGGTAGCCTGAAAGGTCTTTCTGGTTGGCCAGGGCTCTGGCAGCAGGCAGAGGACAGTGCCTAGGACTTCTCTTGCCTTATGAAAGGGTCTCCTCCTGTCCTGCTTCCCCTCTGGCCCTTAGGGTGATGCTGCAGGACCTGATATCCTAGTCAAGGTAGGAACTGGACCCTCTGTCTTGCTCCCTCATCCTGCAGAGGCCATCCTGACAAGCCCTTGAGTGGAGAGGTGGATACTGCTTGCCAAAGAGGCCAAAGATGGATCAAAATAGGCACAAAGTCAAAAGGCAAAGGTCAAACAAAAGGCTGGAATCATCACCCAAAATAAACAAATTCTGCACCACCAACACTCGCCGCATGGACGGGAGAGCTCTTTCCCTCTGCCCATCTCCACCCTGGTGCTGGACATGACAGCAAAGGGCTGATGGGAAATCCTTGGCAGGCTAGGGGCCCTGCTCTGGGTGGTGTCTGGGGGCCCGTGGATGTATGTACATGTGTCAGGGTGGGCCACATCAAAGAGCTGTACTCTCAGACTCCTCTTCCGAGTCCCTCTTGTCAGTCACCGAGTGCCGCCGTGCGTGTTCCAGGGGGCTCAGGCGGAGCGTTGACCCCAGCTCTATATGGATGGAGGGGACATCAAAGTGGACAAGATCTGCAGAGAGAGGAGGAGGTGACAGGGCCAATTGCAAACAGACAGCATAGGAAGCAGGGCGGCCTGCTCAGGCTAGCTCATTAGAAGTTGGGCATTGCAGGATCAGGGTGTGGCTGAGTCTGATCTGTTTCTGCCTGGGAGCCTGCCTAGGGGACAAGGCTCTGTTCCAGTCTCTCAGCCTCTGTACCCAGGTCCTGATAAGCAGGGTGCTCCAGGCAGGCCTCAGTAACATATCCTGGGAATCAGTCTGCAGAGACAGTCATTGCCCTCACTTAGAAACTGTCAGCAGCTTGGATTTTCTTAGGGTGCTGGATCCACCCCACCCCAAACCCCCTGTTCTGAATCACTTTCACAAGGAACACTAGGTCATTCTGGCAAGGGCAGGGAGGATGAATATACCAGAAGTTACAAGGCTTGGTGCCTGGCCATCTGGGAGTCAGCAAAGATAAAACCACCTCACAGGGCTGTCAGCTGGTTACTCCGCCCCCTTGAACACCACACTAGGAGTGGAATGTCCTGGAGCCTCAGCCACTGCTCAGTAGATGCTGGAGGGCCCAGGCTGCTGAGGCCCTGAGCTGCAGGAGCTGAGCTGGGATGATGGGTCCTCTGGACCTTTCCCTCTTTGTTCTATCCTACCCTACTCACCTAACCCATCTAAGTTCTGGACTTCCGTGAGTTTTGTCAAGCTGAACTGGCAACAGCCTGGCAGGGGCTCAGCCCTAGGCCAAGCATAGTTTGAGTTTTGTTTCTGTTGGCTTTTTAAAAGAATTAATTAAACAGGTTTCAAATAAATACCATACAGGCAATACATTTGGACACTGCCCTCAAAGACATCTTACAGACACACAAGCACTGGGATACCCCTACTCTGCCATTGTAGCCTGTCTGGTTGCATAATGGTGGAGCAGATCTAGGGTCTGAAGTTTGGCCCAGTCAGCACTAAGTGACCCCTACAGTGTGTGACTTGGATCCCACAGGCTGCCTAAAGGCCGACTTCTGCATGTGTGAGTGAGGTTGCTGGGGTCTACTGGGAACAGCACAGGCTCTCTGGATGCAGAGTTGCAGACCTGTCTCACAGCAGGACTGCCAAATCGGAGCATGGGCATTGAGGAACATAAACATGAAAGTTCAGACAGTGCCTAGCCAGCACAAGACTATTTCAACCTTATCTTGGCAGTGCCCTCAAAGAAGCCTGGGTAAGAAGGGTCACTCAGTGAGAGGGCAGGGCTTAGGGGAGAACCCTCTGGAAGCTTTGACTATTTCCCTCAGACTTGTGAATACCAGGTGCCTTGCTGCTAGTCAGCAAGACAAAATCCTCTCAATACTCTGGACTTTATTCATGCTCTTGCCTGATTTTTAGGTTTTAATATGTATTCTTGATGAAAAGGAACCTAAACAGATAATGATAAAACATTGTCCATGGTTGGACAGAGGATCTGGTGGCTGCTGTTGGCACACAAGTGATGTCCTATGGACCATCCAAGCTTTGCCTTATCGCTGACAGTGGCACTTAGATCAGCTGGTGTAAACCTGTGGCCCTGTGCCAGACTGTACCTGGTGAGTGTACTTGGAGACATGTCTCTCAGCAAAGGGGTTCAGGGAACATTCTCAGTGGGCACAAAGACTTCAGAAGCTATAAGAGCAAGCCTGTTACCTGGGTAAACTGCTAACTTGAGGAAAGGGGATCTGCTAATTTGGTGACATGGGTGAAAAGAAAGGGCTGGGTCCCTCTGCTGGGTGTCTCCCCCAGCTTGTAATAAGAAGAAAGGAGAAACAGGCCAGTGAGCTAAGCCAGGGGGCCCTCCCTGAGGCTAGGGAAAGCCAGTAAGTGAAGTAGGCATGCTGTTGGTGGGTCTGAGCCACATGCAGTAAGAGGAGGGGCTGGTGGGATGGGTGGTAGCCAGGCAGCTGGCTGGGCTGGCTAGGAGGCATGAAGCGAGGTGAGCTGGGGCCAGCTTACCCTGAAAATCCCCCTCACACGTATCCAACACTGCGTCACTCATGTCACACAGCTGCAAGAACATAATGATAGGATTCGGAGAGAGGAACAAACAGGATGAAACACGTGTAACAAAAAAAAAAAAAAAAAAAAAAAAAAAAAAAAAACCACTGTCCATGTCATAGTCCCAGAAAGGCCACACCAACTACAGATTCTACACTGTCAGAGACCTACACATACAAGACACACAATGGTCTGCTGCCCAAAGAACATTACACAACAGAGACATTGGGCAGGACATTCCTTGCTCACCTATCACTTATGTCATTCTGCCCTTTTCTGCTTTCTTGAATGCAGCACTATTTATCTATGTCTTGCAGAATGGGTTACCTTGCATCCCTGCTTGGGAGTGGTTGGAGTGCTAAAGGAACAGCCCCATGAGCTGCCTCTGGCCCACGCCGACTCTGGGAGCAGGTGTTGCCTTCCATAAGGGCTCATCTGGGTCATGTGCTCCTGCAGTGTTCATAGGAGGAGGGCGCTGGCTGCCTTGTTCAGGATACTACCTAGGATTGACTCAGCTACAGAATGGGTGATAGCAGCTATGTATTCATATTGATCTCTTCCAAAAGTACAGAAGCCAGGTTGCAACTCCTAGCCCACCACTATTTGACTAGTGTTTGTGCTGACAGTCAAGAGCTGGCCCCCACAAACTGTAGCCACCATCTCATCTAGGGAAAAACATGTTAAGTTCTGTTATGATACAGTGGGGAAAGAAGGCAGTATCTGAGCAAGGTCCCACTGTACCCAAGTAGCTTGGCAGTCTTTGTATGTATGTGACACATAATGAATGTGGGCATGTGGTTTTCTTAATGTGTGTGCTGGGGATAAACTCAGGTAGAGCAAATGGTCTGCCTCCTAATTATGTCCCAGCTTCAATGTTACTTGGCTTACATGGTATGCAGCTATGTAGCTTACACATACATCATGGTATGGGGCAGTGTGTGCATGTATATGTCATGTGTGATATATATATATGTCATGCTCTAAGTAGACGTGTATGTGTGATAGATGTGCTGTGTGTTTGCATGTGCTGTGTGTGCATAGATAGGTTCGGTGTGTGTGCAAGTATGATGTGTACATGTGGTCTATATATTTGTGTGTGCTGCATGTGATTGTAGTCCATATGCAATGCATGTATGTGGGTGCTAAGTAAACATTGCAGGTATGGGACATCTATGTGTATGGTATACAAATGTGTGTGTGCATATGGGGATGTGATGTATTTATTGTGGTGTACTGGCATGTCAACATGACATGAGCCAGAGTCATCTGGGATGGTGGTCCTGGGTGCTATAACAGAGCAGGTTGAGCAAGCCATGAGGGGCAAGCCAGTAAGCAACACTCCTCCATGACCTCTACATCAGCTCCTGCCTCCAGGTTCCTGCCTGGAGTTCCTTTTCCAACTTCTCTAGATGATGGACTATAAGGTTAAATAAACCCTTTCCTCCCCAAGTTACTTTGTTCCTGGTGTTTTTATCATGGCAATAGAAACCCTAAGACAGTATATGTGAATTATTGTCGTGGGATATTTGATTATACTGTGACAGTCCGAGACTGTTAGTAAAATGACCTTGAGTCAGGG